TTTTTGTTATATTCAAATTATATTATTTTATTATCATATTTTAATAAACTTTTTGTTAATTATAATTATAAATAATTATAGAATTCTATTAATTATTTTTATTTTTTAATAATAAAATTAATTGCTAATATAGATATATAAAAATTCATCAAATTTTTAAATTTAAAATATGTTAAATTATGGCTAAGTTATCTATCAAATATTTATATTTTATTTATTTCTTTATTGTCAAATATTATAATATTATAATTAAACTATTAACAAATATTTAATAAATATTTATATTTAATTTTATGCCAAGTAGTACCAAATAATATAAATTTAACTTAAATTTATTTATAAAAATTTAAAAATTTGGTAATAATTCAACATGCCAAAAATAATCAAATTTCAACTAGTGAAAGATAATTAAGACTTTAATTGATGTCTTGGATCAGAAGATAAAATCTGAAATAGAGTAAATATTAAATATGATTCTATAATATAATTCTATATGCAAGTTTAATTATTTGCCATATTGTGAATATAAATAAAGAATTGTTGCTTAATATTAGAATAGAGTTGATAGGTTTTATTATTTGTTTAACTTTTTTGTTAGCTAATAGATACTTGAATATATATTAAATATTTTCAATATAGAAGCTACATTTAGAGCAATAAAAATCTATATATAGATGGGATATAGTTGATTAAGGAATTCTTAAATAGGAAGGGTTTCTAATAGCAATTTGATTCTATATATGATTAAATTATTGTATTTATTGTTGTGAAAACTTTTGATAAATCTGTTGAATGAATTAAGTATTTTAAGGCCAAAGGCACAATGTGAATGACTGAATGTTTTTGAATATTGATGAGCTTTTATAAATTATATATGCTCTGATAATACTGTAGATTTTTTTGCATTATCTTGTGCAACCATTAGAGTTGATTTTGTCAAAATTAATAATATATAATAATTAATAAAAATTTATTTATTATAATGGCTCTAGAATTTAAATTATATTATTAATAAATAATATGTAAAAATTGAATATTTATAAATATTAAAATTTATCAAATAATAAAATTTAATAAAAAGCAATCAAATTTAATTAAGTTTAATTAAAACTAACCATATAAATGTATTCTTAAATTTAATAATTCTTTGAAAAGTTTTTTTATCAAAAGTATTGGATTTTTTTATAAAAACTATTCTGTATAACAGTACCAGATACAATATATTAACTTTAATAGAAAATCGAAAAATAATTTATTATTTGATATGACAGTATTTTAATTAATGATAAAAAAAATAGTTGATTTTTAAATATTAATTTATTTATCACACATATAATATAACGATATTTTTTGCTCTCAATATTATTATGGGATTTTTTTTTTACAAAAAATATGATATTTTGTTTAAGCAAATCAAAATTCGGTATAATGATTTCTTAAATTCATTTGCCACATCTTAATAAATATTCAATCATCGCCAAAATATAAACCCGGTACAGTAAATAAATTTATATATAATTTGAATCCGCAGTCTTATTGACGTTTCTTACTAGTTAATAAAATAAAAAGAATAAATATTATGATGACATAAAGACCTACTGAATAGTTTATTCGTTATTATAGCATCTTGATGAATAACTCAATTGTCATCCCTGACTAATTGCCGATTAATTTAATATTACTACTAGAAATTTGACTTTTTATGTAATTGGATGGTACGCGATATGCAATTTAATGGATTGAAATTTCTTCCGAATTGAACTTGTAGATAGTCATATGATTATTTGAAATTTAAAATTTATGTTGACTGTACGATTACCTTGAAAACTGCATTTTCCTCAGGCGAATATGCAATCGATTATGATAGAAGGCAACCGCATCACATTCTCAAAGACGATCGAGGGGTTGTAGAAACGATTTTTTTTTGTTGCAATCAAACTTTTTTCTTTTTTTTTAATTACTTATTTAACTTAATTATTTTATACATTAGATTTAAAGATTAAGACAGGAAGAAATTTCATATATAAAACATGCCTTAATTTTTTTTGTTTTTTATCTATCTTTCATGAATGCAGGATGAATGACTGTTTCATGAAACTCATTAATTTCATTTATATTAAAATAGAATTAAACCTACAGGCTAATAAGAATATTTGTTCGTTATTAAAAGTCCATCTAGCTCTATCATTCAAACATAAGATCTTGTATTACAAGAGATTTCGTTAGATCGTTATGTTCGATTGAAGCATTATTCTCCGTTGAAGTCTTTAATAGTAAATTATCCGACATTTGAAAATTCAAGGAATTATTATATAATCCAAAAGGGACATACTGTTGATTATAATTGTTACTCTGATCAAAATGGTAAAGCGAAGAATAGGGGATCTGTTGTTGAGAAGGTATCGTCGAACTTGAACCAGCGTTTATCGGAGCATCCAAACATACCGACTCAATTGAAGGAGAGCGAATTGCACCAGCAAAGAAACTGGGATGAGGACAAAGCGAATGAACCGGAGCTGACTCCGTTGAAAAAGGAGGTACTGAAAGTAAATAATCGTTCGGTTGATGTAACCTCGACTGATTCATAAACTTTCGAGTGTAACAAGTAGGATAGGGAGAGGCAGGCATGGATAATTTGACATGAATCTTCTCAACCTCCCTGGCAATGTCCTCGTACTTCCTTTTTACTTCCGAAGATTCTAACTTCCAGGATTTTGCGGCCATGCGCGAAACATCTCGCATAGAGAGTTTATAACCACAAGATTGAAGTTCCTTTGAATACTCATTACGATAAATTAGGAATTTGTTCGTTGCACGGGAAAGAAGTTGACCATTTTTGTTGCGTCTTATGAGATCTAAGGGATTTATTTGGGGTGGAAAAGGAATTGTGATCGTAATGTTAGAATCCGAGGAGATATTGTTGTGTGATTGTTTTGCTGGTGAAATTATGGCGTCCGATTCATCAATGAAAACCCATTCTTTCTTTGAATTGTCTTCTTTGTTAATACTTGGGGATGTCATACTTAAAAATGTCGTTTATGTTATCTTTGAACCAGTTCACTTCGGGAAATTCGTGTCCTTTTATAAATACAACGCATAGACACTAAAAATAAGAATATATAGCATAAATCCAATCTTATCCGTTATAAAGCAGACTTTGGATCATGAGTCTATCATAATTATTACTTAAATTGGAATGGATACGTGCATATGATTTTGCTAAATACAAGGGGAGAATCTAATAGACGAAATATTTGATTGGCATATGTTTGCGTGATTTCTAGCATTTATTCAGAGAAACTTTCTGGATTTTGCTTATTTTTGTACACATGATCTTTGTTTTTTGGAGATCTCCCTGCGTAACTTTATTACTCGGTTTTTTCAAATTTCGACATGCATATTTTCATATACGTATTACCTCATTAGAATTAATTGATAGAAGTCAGTAATTGACCACGAAACGTTAACAATGAAATATGTACTGTATAATAAGGGATGGTAATATAATCTTACATTGTACAGTATATGCTATATATGCCAATGTTTTTGGATCGTCCTATTAATTTCCGACATCACATTCCTTGTTTAGGAAAGCGCGCTTACGTACTCACGCATATACACATGTATTATTAATGAAAACATGGATAATGAAATCCATGCGTTATCATCAAGTAGAACACGTCGATTCTCCTTCACATAAAAAACAAGCCATTTATATTGAATATTGCTTCCTGTTGAACTCTGGTATCATGTTCCATTATATTTACCGTTAAATTTAACCTTCTTGGTTTTTTAGTTCCCGTTATTATTATTTTGTCTTTTGAGATTTTTCTCGTATACATACAGTACATACATTGAATATTCATTTTCTGATGTTTTTTTTCCTGAAAACCTCATCACATTTATCTACCTTGCATACAGAATAATTAAATTTTCCACCGTGTGGTCCTAAGCACCTATAGATGCACGATTTTCCAACCACGTGAAATTTTCAAACGCACATTCACCCTGCAAAAAAAGAGTTTATCTTTCAAATGTATAAATTCTCCTGATCATCCAGGATCTCCTGGCGTCATCAATCGCGCACCAATAATCATTGTTTCTCCGTATTACTTTCTCCTCGATTCGTAAAGAGAAAGAGCAGGGTTTTGATTTTCCATTCATTTCATACTAAATTATTTCTGGTGGAACACTCCGTTTTGTAGGACTACTACCTAGTTCTAAAAACCCCACGTAAACTCACACTACGCTCTATTTGACAATTTTATCGGTGCCGATGATAACATGAGAAAGACAATCACAATTAATAATTTCTTATTTCCATGGAAGCTTTCTAAAGGAAAATGAGAAAAACCAATTTTCGGCAACAAAACAAATAGAACAATTATTACCCCATACGCTTATCATGCATTATTAAATTCCGAAATAGGGAACGCTAGATGTCAAATTTTAGATATGCGCGTGGGGTACAATATTGGTGAGTGGATCCTATAGCGATATCTCATATTGACCATCGTATGAGTAGTTTTTTGGCTCGACTATTTTTGCCCCGAAAGATGAATGCACGAATGAACTTGCTCAATTCGCCAGAAACCAAATGATTATTTTAACCGATGTTTGATCGATTATAGATACAATCACATCAAATAATAATATAGATATTACTAATCGGATATACGATATTTACTTTGTGCCTGAGTTATTTTTTTTTTTTTTCACACCTAGAATTAGACAAATTTTTCAATTAAATTGTTTCTGATCATATATATTTTTTTACAACTTCACCTTGAATGTTTTATTAGATACAATAAAATATTTTTAAAGTTACTCTAAACAAGGTTGGATTAATACATTTCGAACTATTATTTTGTTAGCAGAGATTTATTACTAATTATAAGTGACAGAGTGGTTGCATCGTGTAAATGCATTTGCATTGTTTTCGAGTGAAACTTCCGGGTCACGAGAACTCCTGCATAAATGCAAAAAAACGTAATTAATTGGTTGTACATGAGATCGTCATGTAGCGCGCGAAATATTTGAAAATCGCCGGTAAAACTTAAAGTCTCGTGAAACCTATGTTGTTTCATATAATCTAACTTAAATTTTTATTAAGTCGTAAGTTTTATTAATAAAAGAAAAAATTAATTAATTAGTTTTTTTTTTATTTAAATAAAACAATGATTTAGAAATAATAATTAATAGTTTATTCAATAAGTGTTTTTTACTTTAATTGAATTAGTAAGACATAAAAATTTTTTCTTTTTATTATTATGATAAACTGTTATTTTCTGAAAATTTAATAGAAAGTCTTTTAAAATTAGTTAATAATAGATTTTCATTTGTTAATAAATAAAATTATCAATGGCTATTTTTAATTCAGTACCGAGATTATTTTCACTTGAATTAATTATTTTTATAATTATTTTTTCTCCAAAAAGTTAATTAAGAAATAAAAAAACTCATTAATTTTTTTTTTTTTTTTTTTTTTAACGTAGGTAAACACCATTTCTTTATTTATTTGTATATAACAAGGTATACATTATGGAAAGA